GTCCTGCGGGTGGGACAGCTCTCTGTCCTGTAGGGTCATTGCTGAGTCAGGATCAGCTCACAAGCAGAAACTTAGGTTTGGTTTTTAGAAAACTTTGGAAAGCTTGGGGCTTTTCCCCTGGTTTTTGTTTTTTATCTGTTTCTGCTTTATCCCAGCATCTGCAGACGTGTTCACAAGTGAGAGTACTTTCAACTTTCTGTGTTTTCAAATTCTTTTTCAGTTGTTGGTTTTCTTTAGTGCTGACTCTTGCAGGGTCAGCTGTCAAAGTAACTGTTACAGGATGACCTTGCTAAATAGATCACATTTGGGTAATTCACAGTTTTCTAAACAGGCTCGGCCTTTTGTTTCTGTTTCCCTTTGTAGAAACTTCAGCTGGAAAGGGTTAATCTACAGGAAGTAAAGCGGTCGACCTATGATCACACTCGGAAGTGTACGGACCAGCTCCTTCTCCTGGGACAAGTACGTGTGATGGAGAGGCTGGTGGGCACGTGACACACATACATGCGACACACGCGTGTGTGCACACACTCACACACACACACACTCACAGATACACAGGCGTGCTCCCCTTCCTGGTTGTGTCCTTCTTGGCAGTCTGAGTGGGTGAGTGTTGCAAAGCGCCCATAAGGAGGCAGGAGCTCGCGGTCCTGCAGAAGCCTGTGCTCTGGGCTTCCACAGTGTCACACGAAGCCTCTTTCCCTCCTGGGTTCGGGCCTCTTGACCGGTGCAGAGCCCAGAGACACAGCGACTTGAGCCCATTTTAGCCAGACTGTAGGGCTAGGTTTGTCTCCTAGCAGCTGAGTTGGGTTCGTTTTTGCACATGTAAACAAAGCATTCAAGAAGTGGTTGAGATCTTCCTGAAGGTCTAAAGGTAGTATACCGTGTTAGGAATTAAGAAGGTGATATGAAGAAAAACTGTGCTCAAAATGATCATAATCCGAGAAACTTCCCTCCAGACAGACCGCGCTGTGCAGCTGCTGCTGGAGACGAGTGCAGACAACCCCCACTACTACTGTGACTCGTTGAAAGCCTGCCTGGTCACCACCGTCACCTCGTCCGGCCCCTCGCAGAGCACCATCAAGCTGGTGGCCACCAACATGATCGCCAATGGCAAGCTGGCAGGTGATACGCCTCTGGCCGTCAGACCGTCCCCAGGAACGAGGCTGACGGGAGCCGTCGTTAGGAACCTGGGTTTTTCTACGTCTTCTCAAGGACATTCTGAGTAACTCTCAGCTGTCGACCATACAGTCTAGTTACCCCGTCTCTAAGAGGAAAGGGGGCACCGTGAATAACGATGCCAGAACAACGGGCGTAAGCCAGGCCATCCGGGGCAGACTGGCCGGATGAAACCAGAGTGAGGGTGCTTTCTACACTTTCTTTGTGCTTCTGACCTGGATGACTTGGGTGGTAACATCATAGCACTCCATCTCCATTGTGATATTTGAGTCAGGAATGGCCCCCGGGGTGTGACGTACAAGGGCTGGGCTCTTTTGAGGGGTGACTCTAGTGACTTGTCAGGGACGTGGCCTGCTGGTCACCTGAGGGTCTTCTTTCCAGAGGGCGTGCAGCTACTCTGCCTGATCGACAAGGCTGCCGACGCCTGCCGCTACCTGCAGACGTACGGGGAGTGGAACCGGGCGGCCTGGCTTGCGAAGGTTCGTCATGTGCCAGGGCTGCAGGCCTTGGGGGTGGGAGGTTCAGTCTTCATGGTGGACCGGTGGGCCATTGAACTCGATGGGTTTTGGCCTGCAGTAACTTTGTGGATATTTTTGTGTGTGTATTTTTGAATGCGAGTTACATTCTGAAACACAGAGGCTGCATTACTGCTGCTGCTGAAGTGAAGGCAGGTGGCTGCCCTCGGGGTGGTGGCACGAGCCAGTGACTGTGTCCCCCAGGCCTGGGCCACAGCCAGGCCGGTCCTGGGAGCAGCAGCTACAGGCACGACCGAGCTTTGTTTCCGAGGGACCGATCCTGATTGGTTTGGGTTTTCTTCCTGTTGTGCAGGCTGTTTTTCTTGTTAACGTGGGTCTCTCCCAGGTCCGTTTAAACTCTGAAGAGTGTGCAGATGTCCTGAAGCGCTGGGTGGACCATCTGTGCTCTCCACAAGTCAACCAGAAGTCCAGGGCCCTCCTGGTCCTCCTTTCCCTGGGCTGCTTTTCCACTGTGGCCGAGACGCTGCACAGGTAAAGACCGCAGTGCCCCGTGGGCTGCTCGGAGTCCCTGCGTCACGTCCCGCCAGGCGCTTCAGAGAGTGGAGGGTTTTATTAAAGCCTAAAAGGGAGAGGGGCCATCTGTTTCATTAATCCTGCTTTTAGTCCGCTCTGAAACCAAGCCCAGACCAAGGCCTTCAAGTCCATTGCAACTCGGCAATCTCTGAGGACGGAGTGGAAGTGCCCACAGGGCCCATGGTCATAAATTTTTATGGGTGCAGAGTGGAGTCAACTGCCAGCCTTTTGGGTGGTAGCCACGTGCGTTAATGGCTGTGCCACCAGGGCTCCTTCGTTTAGTCCAAGAGCTGTGGTATTTGCCCTCTAATCTAATCCAGCCTAATAGGTCCCTATTAGAAGAGAGTTTTAAAGTCTTCAGGGAATGAGGTCAATTGAACTTGCAGGAAAGCAACTCAAGGAACTTGAGCACTAGGGAGGGTGCCCGATAGAGCAGTACAGTGGAGGTGTCCACCTCTCAGGACCAGGCGCCTCACTTCATTCTGGGACATTCTTGTATTTAAAAATGAGGGAGGGTGACCGAGGAAAATGTGACTGAATACTAATTGTTAGTATGCATTACCATGTCTCCGAAGATTTCTGCGTGGTTAGATTATTTTATAACTGGGGGAAAAAATCATAAAAAAGATCTTGGGGAAAAGGAAGTCTTGAGGTTGGGAGAGGAAAAGGCACAGGTGTCTCCCCCTATGAGCCATGGCTGAGAAAACGCACGTAACTGACGTATGTGCTCAGGTGCCCGAGGGAAATGTGCCCTGAGTCCCAGTGCCGGACCCTTCTCTTGTCTCTTTGCAGCATGAGGTACTTTGACCGAGCGGCCTTGTTCGTGGAAGCGTGTCTCAAGTACGGCACCATGGAAGTCACTGAAGAGACCGATATCCTTTGTAAATGCGTGTGTGCCGGACAGGATGAGCCGTGGGTGGGAGGCAGGAAGCCGGCTCTGTGGGGCAGGGTCCCCGTTCCAGTTCAGCAGAGCCAGGAAGGACGAAAGGGGCGATCCAGGAGGAGGGCTGCTGGGCCCCAGGCCTTTACAGGAAGGTAGGGAAGGGGAAAGTCAGGCTCCCGCCTTTGTCGCGTTGGCTTGGCCGTCAGACAAAGCTGGCGGTCATTTAGGGGGGTGCACAGTGCTGTGCTCAGCAGAGTCCTGCTTAAAGCAGGCACCTCACGGCATACAGCGTAGGGCATCCTCTAGAAAAGAACCTGTTGGAAAGATGTGTCACAGGGAGGACTCGAACATGAGCAGAACGCAGCTCCCCCTGGATGGGGCACATCAGCAATGGGCACGTCAGCAGAATGGCCCGTGGGCAGGAACACGGCGTCTCGTCCAGTCTGAAGGAGTCACGTTTGCTCTTTGAAGAGAATGGACTTGGGAGCACAACTCCTGGTTCCATGTGCTTCCATCCCTCGTACTCGGTGCTCACACACCACCGTGGGCTTGGTTTCGACTCGTAGTGACTGAACCCTTCAGGGCTTGCCAGGCTGTAGACTGAAACAAGAGGTCCATATACTGTTCCCTTGTAGCCTCATTTTTACTACATCAAGAGTCGAGCACTACTCATAGCGACTCTGTGAACAAAGACCTAATGCCTTTCCATAACTCTCATCGTTTCATAGAGTCTCCGGAGGCATGTGGCTTAGGAAGTGGATGCCACTCCTGCTTCCCAATTTTTTTTTTTTACAGACAATTAAATTGAAACTTGGACTTACCTTCTAGCTGGTCAATATATAGGGGCCAGAGCTGTCCAAATTACGACTTACCTTCTAGCTGGTCAATATATAGGGGCCAGAGCTGTCCAAATTACAACCCTGGATACCTGGAGCACCTGCTGTAGGCAGGCCTGGATCCGTGGGCCTCATGATGAAACAGCGGTTCGTCTGAAAGAAACCAGCCCCTGGGACTTGAGGTGGGCGAGGGTGTGCTCCAAGCCCCTGTCCACGCGCTCACTTCTCTGGCCTGTAGCTGAGTGCAGGTTGTAGAATAATCTGTGAGGATCTTTGGTAGATTTTCTGGAAGGTTTTTGCTCAGGTGGGTGGGAGGTTAGTGATGTTACTACCGAGCAAGGCGTCAGACTGGTTCTCTGCAGTGTTGCCCCTGCTGAGAGTCAGCATTTCCACCGCAGAGGCACTGACTTGGACTCTGCCCTTAATACGATCTGGCCTCTTGTATGTGTAACAGTCATGGCATCTTGTTACAAGGAGGATTCTGCCGCAGTACATCTGGGGTGGAATGTCAGCTGCACTTCAGGGCCTTTGCAGCTCTGCTGTTGAGCCAAGCTCTGGCCCTACAGGGACTCCCGTGCACCCCGCGGCTGCAGTCTGAACGTCCCCCCGTCCAGGACCTGAGGATCCTGACAGAGCCGGCCCTCCCGTGAAGAGTGGCCCTCACCTCTGTGCACTCACCTTCCTTAACTGGCCTCACAGAAGCTCATCTGTGCTGTGTATGCAGATTACGCCCGGAGCCTCAAGAACCTGGGCTTCAAAGCAGGAGCTGTTCTTTTTGCTTCAAAAGCCGGAGCCGCTGGCAGAGATTTATTGAATGAACTTGAATGCCCTTTGGAAGAACTGGCAGAAGAGTGAGGGTCTAACACGTCCGGGCGCCTGACCTTGGAAACAGGACGGGGCGGCAGGTGCGCCGGCTGTGGTCACGGTCACAGCCTGGTGGGTGCGGAGACGACATGTAAGACTTCTCTGACCAGGCCTCTGGAGATGCCTCTCCTGTGTCTGAGGCCGTCTGCTGTGTATGTGAGCATTACAGTGTTAGAAGCAACTCCTATATCCTGTATTTACCGCAGAGAGAAATGTCAACAGTGCAGATTTTGAATGTGTATAACCTTTTCTACATTTAAGGAGAGCTTTAAAAGTATCTCAAGTACTTCTTTTTAAAGTTCAGTTGAATGAATGACTTTTTTCACTGGCAGATTTGAAGGATGTTTGAACAGTGTTTGGTGAAATGGGCTCTGGAGTCCAGGGGCTGGCTCTGTGCTGTGCAGTGTTACAGCGCTCAGAGACGCAGGAAGGGCAGGCCATCTCGCCGCAGGAGGGTCAGGCCCTGTGTCCTGACCTTGGAAGCACGTCTGGTGACACCTTGCTGTAGGCAGCTGACAAATCGTGTCATTTCAGGCTCCTGAGAGCTTTACGTTTTATTCCAGGACTGGAGTCTTTGATAAGTGACTTGACACCCTTTCTGTGATGTATCGTGGTCACCTCATTCATGAAGTCTCTTTGTGATTTAATGTCTTACCTCTGTTCTTCCAGCAGCTGAACTAGACGAGATGTGACTGTTCTGTTTTACCAGTCAGAAAATGCCCAGAACATACAGTAATAAAGAAGGGTCCATCCAGCCTGTGCATTCTCGTGCTGTGTGTGAGCTCAGCTGACCTCTTGGGTCCTCGGGAGTCACTGCTCCTGCTCCTCCCCCAGGCCCACGCCGTACCTGTAACACCCAGAGACGCTGAGTGGGGGAATTCTGTAACCCAGCGCGGCAGAGAGAGATCCCAGGGTGTGCTGGTCCATCACGATGCCAGGACCCCCCAAACCAGTGCGCCTGTCAAGTCCATCCTGACAACTAGTAACTCCAAGGCTGTACTTTAAAAAAAAAATTATTACTAATTTTTTGTGTGTGTACCATCAAATCGAATCTGACTGGTACAGGAGGAGATTGCCCCTTCTTCTCCAACAGAGCATCTGGTGGATTTGAACCACTTAGCTCTGGGATTGCAGTGCAGCTTCTTGCCACTAGGCCACCAGAGCTTGCCAAGGCTGTACTTTTTATGGTGCAGACTGCTGCATCATTCTCCACGGAGTGATTGTAACTTCAAACCCACAGCCTTTTTCTTAGCAGTTCTGCTCCTTATCTGTGCTACCAAGGCTCCTGTCTCATAAGGTGGTCAGTCCTCAGAACACTAACAGGTGACCAAACAAGGCCGATGAACAGGGCGCTCTTACCCTGGAGGCCGATAGAGCACACGAACAAGCGAAAGGCTCTGACAAGTCCTGCAGTGAAGAAGCCTGTTAACTGGGTTTCAGCCAGCATTGCCCACATGCGTTTGACTTTTATCTCCACCTTCACGTTATCGTCCTCTGCCTCCCTCTTCCTGCCTTCCTCCGTGCCTGCCTCCTCCCTCTTTCTGCCTTCCTCCATGCCTGCCTCCTCCCTCTCCCTCTTGCTGCCCATTCACATCCCTGGCACTTCACAGTGGGTACAGCTGACAGATGGAAGAGGACCTGCTGGTGTGGGAGGCCACTGCATTTGGAACACCCTCGTTGTGGCTGGGATGACCCAGGGGGCCAGCTGTGGGGGGTGTCACGTGCCCCGTCACAGCCTCACAGTTGACCTGAAGCCCTGACCTGAGTGGATGCAGAGAATTGACATCTTTCCCTTTATATGCGCAAAGCTGAGACTTAGATCTTCAAGCAGCTTTTTCCAGAGCAGGAAGTTCCATAGGAAAGGAAAATAAGAACAAGAAAAAAAGCCCCTGAGAGCAGCCCTTTCTGGTTTCAGAACAGTTCACGCCACCACAGCTTCCCTCGTCTCTTCTGAGAGGTCGTCCTTCCTCTGCTCACACTTCTCCCCTGATGGGCGCTCACTGTCTCCCAGCCTGGCCCTTCTGTCATCCACTGCTGTCTCTATCAGTGCCCCTACTCTGAGAGCACCCCACTTCTTCCCCAGTCTGGAAGCAGCTGTCTGCTATGGTGCTTAGAGCCCGGCCTGCCTGGCTCGGAAGTCCAGCCCCTACACTTACTAGCTGTATGTGGTGGTTAACATGCTTCCCTGGGCCTCAGTTTACTCACCTGCAGAATGGGACGGTGCCACACCTAACCCAACGAGCTGATTCCGACTCCTCGATCTTGCAGAACAGCAGAGCTGCCCCGGGGGGTTTCTGGGGCTGTAAGTTGCCACAGGAGCAGACTGCCTCCACTCTCTCAGAGCAGTGGATGAGTCCGTACTACTGACCTTCACAGTAGCAGCTACGCTCTTCACCGTGTCACCGGGCTCCTTCCTGACCTGTAGGAGGAATACGGTAAATGATGCTTGAGTCAGGAGGAAGCTCCTGGGGCCCTGACGGATCAACCTGGAGGAGCTGGTGTGCTGCAGGGAAACCCTGGCCTCAGCCACTCACAGGGCAAACCTCCCATGAGCACCTGTGCCAGGTGACCCCACTGCCTCATGCCATGTATGACTGTCCCCTCTCTTCCCCACTGCCCAGACCCATAAGAGTGAACGAAGCTGATGGGGGGTGGGCTGTAGACACATTTCTGCTGTTTCACAGAGAGCTGCTTGGTTTGTGCTCCTTGATTTTTAGGACATACACTGTTCTGATGGGCCAAAACATTTTCCTTTTTCTAACTTTTTCTGGTGCTGTTGAGTCAGAACCAACCCATAGTTAACCCTCTGGTGGGTTTTCAGAGGCAGTTATTCCTTCTCCCGCAGATCAGCTGGTAGGATTCAAACCATGTGCCTTCGGGATTACAGCACAGATTCTTGTCATTAGGCCACCAGAGCTCCCTTGTATTCACAGTTACTTAAATAATACATTATATGGATAAAAAAAGCACCCCAAGTGAAATGGAGTTGTACTCTAACTGAAAGGTCAACGGTTCGAATCCACTAGTTGTTCTAAAGGAGCAAAGTGAGCAGAATCCTGGAAACATGATAGAAAGTTGCTAGGAATCCGATTTGAGTCAATGGGAGAAGATTTATAATGTCTTTAAAGTGTGCATCTCTTTGACTAAGAAATTCCACTTTTCAGACTTTTATAAGATAGCTAAGAATGAATTAAGAACATTTAGCTGCACAGATGTTTTCAAATCCATCCACAATATTGACCTCAGATATGAAAAGGAAAAAGTTATCAAATACCTACTTTATTTCTGAAATCTCGTTTTGATTTTAAAATGACACACAATAGAGTAAGAGTTTCTTTCTCCTCTGGTGTTCTGTTTCCAAAAGACAGTAAAGTTGCCACCAGCCACACCCCACCAGTGCCGTGGCATCTGTCGTGACGCAGCGGCCCTGGAGGACTGGCTCCCTGGCTTCCAGGTTCTATGGAAACTGACTGCCACATCTTCCATGGACCAGTTGGCAGGTTGAGACTGTCGACTTTTCACTCAGCGTCCCTGAGCCTCACCACTGCTCCGCCAAGGCTTCTTAGAACAGCCGCAGTTGGCTGGCTAGCTCTAGAACCAGACCTCATCAGAACCGCCAGGCGGGTCTGCTGAAGCACCGGATTGCTGTGCTGTCACACCCTGAGAGTTCTGATGGAGAAGCTTTGGGGGCTGAGGGCTTAACAGGAGCCTTGACAACACAGTTAAGAACTGCGTCACTAACAAAAAGGTCCGGCTTGAACCCAGCTCTTTGGGACAAAGATGAGGCATTCTGATGTATTGACAGCCTCAGAAATGCCATGGCGCAGACAATTCTTGGCTTCTTCCTTGTCTTGTAATGCTCTCAATGACAGTGGCTGGGGAGGGACCAGAGAAGATGCATTTCTACGTGGTTCACAGGTAATGCTGATGCTGTTGACTCCACAACTGGAAGACTCTGCCCTGCTGCTGGAGAGGCAGGGCCTCAACTGAGTTTCTGAGTGTCCTGGAGGAGGCCACTGTCCATTCTAAGTCCCAAATAATAAAATACACAGGGCTGGACCGCACGCGGCAATATCATATGTTACCAGTAGGGGACAGTAGAGATCAGGGAATGAAGCTCAGCTGCAGAAAGCGGGACCTTGGACTGAGCTTCACAGACCTGCCTTTGCCTAACAACACCTGTTTGGAGGAGACGGGGCGTTCCCAAACCATTAGCCGGGAACGAGACCCAAGCTCTCCTCTGTGACTCTGAGAGGTGAACTGATGCTTTACCAAGGAGCTGAAGTTTCCTAAAGGCACATCCTTGGAACTCAACGTCCCTTGTTCTCAAAGGAGCTCTGCTGGTGTGGTGTTACGTGTCATGCTGCTAACGGAGAGATGGGTGGCTGGGGTCCACAACCTGCAGCACAGGAAAAAGATGGGCAGGAGAAGGAAGCCGCAGCCCATGGTGGCACGTTGGTGGAGGTCCAGGATAACAGGCAAACTGTCAGGGTCTCGTCCATTCTGGAATCAGGACGGCTGAGGTCTAGCTGTCCCAGGATCCTGGGAGGGGGAGACCTTGTGGGTATGGGAAGGACAGGAATGGTTTCCTAAACCGAATCGCATGAGTTTAGAGCTCCTGCATGAGCATCTGTGGAAGGTGTCTCCCCTGCAATCATGCGACCCACCCCCAAGGTCCCAGGCAGCAAAGCCTCCTAATCTGGCCCTCTCCAGCCAGTCTGCAGACACAGAGCTCTGTCCCTCATCCAGGTGGAGGGTCAGAACTTCAAAAAGCCCACCTCTTTCTCCCAGGTAGAGGCTCCCTCCCAAGCAGGCCTCCAAATCTCAGGGAGGTGAAATGCTGCTTCCCAGGCCCTGCCCCTAGGGATTCTCACTCTTCAAATTGGAGTACAGCCCCGGAATCTGCGTGTTAACCAAGTTCGTCTCACTCCTGGGGTCTGAGGATGGCCTTCTCCCAAACAAACCCAGAGAACGACTGAGTTGGAGAATAA